CGTGTGCAAGTTCGGTACTAGTCCCTCTAGGATTTTCCAGGTGTATATAATCACGTATCTCTCCCGCCTGCGTTCCAGGGAATACAGGTTCAGGAACCTCAAGCGCTCCCAGTAATTGAGGTGTTTTATCTCCGTTATGTGCGCCGTGAAGGTTCTCTGTACATTTTCTAGGTCAGCAATTTCACCTGCCTTGAAAGGTGCTGTTAGTGTGCAGCAATATTCCAGCCTAGATAGAACAAGTGACCTGAAGAGTGTCATCATGGGCTTGGCATCCCTAGTTTTGAAGGTTCTCATTATCCATCCTGTCATTTTTCTAGCAGATGCGATTGATACAATGTTATGGTCCTTGAAGGTGAGATCCTCCGACATGATCACTCCCAGGTCTTTGACGTTGGTGTTTCGCTCTATTTTTTGGCCAGAATTTGTTTTGTACTCTGATGAAGATTTAATTTCCTCGTGTTTACCATATCTGAGTAATTGAAATTTCTCATCGTTGAACTTCATATTGTTTTCTGCAGCCCACTGAAAGATTTGGTTGATGTCCGTCTGGAGCCTTGCAGTGTCTGCAATGGAAGACACTGTCATGCAGATTCGGGTGTCATCTGCAAAGCAAGACACGGTGCTGTGGCTGACATCCTTGTCTATGTCAGATATGAGGATGAGGAACAAGATGGGAGTGAGTACTGTGCCTTGTTGGAACAGAGCTTTTCACCGTACGCCTCGGACTTTATTTCTGTTGAATACTACTCTCTGTGTTCTGTAGTGAGGAAATTATAGATCCATCGACCGACTTTTCCCTGTTATTCCTTTAGCTTGCATTTTGGGCACTATTACGCCATAGTCACATTTGCCCGAAGGCTTTTGTAAAGTCTGTATATATTACATCTGCATCTTTTTGTTTTTCTAGTGCATCGAGGGACCCTTGTCGTAGTGATCCAATAGTTGAGACAGACAGGAGCGCCTGTTCTAAACCCATGTTGCCCTGGTTGTTGTAACTGATGGGTTTTTCTAGAGGGGTGGTGATCTTGCTCTTGGGACCCTTTCAAAGATTTTTAGATAGGGCATAAATGACTAAGAATGGAGGAACACAAACCTGGAGTATACCTGGAGGGTTTTTCCGAGGGTCAGTGCCCTGCCCCCTTTATCCATGACCAGGCCTCAATGGTGGATTACAGCCTGTCAACAAGGCCATTACTGCTGGCCGCATGCAAACCAACACATGAGCTACAGCCCCTTTACAGTCTGACCTTCCCCCGGCTTGTCCAGCTCCCTCCTTTAAGACAGCCGGGGTCTTTTTGGAAATTTCCCTTCTTTTTTAAAGCTGACTCGGCAGAGATGCAACCACTCCCCCAATGAAAAGCAGGGGTCCCAAAAAAGTAAAAGTGAGAACAACACAATAAGTGTCAGGGGCCCAAGATGTTTTCCCCCCAAACGGGGCCTCCCGCATAACAAAGGGGAAAAACCAAATGGCCCGGCCGGCTGTTTTAAAGCGGGGCACGGGACCGGGGGGGAAAACCCAAAAGCCTTTTCCCCTGACCCACCAAAAAAGGCTGGGTTCTTTTGCTTGGGGTTTCCCGGTCCAGGAGAACCCGGGTTTTTTAACCCGCCAAATGGGGCCCTATTAACCCGGAGAGGGGGGGGTTACCCCCAAGGCCCCCCCAGGATTTGGGGTTCATTTAGGGGGAATAAAAATGGGCCACTGAAAAGACGCCGGGTTTCCTGGACCGGGCCCCGCGGGGGTGCCCGACTCGGAACACCCTCCAAAAAGGTGGCTAAAAAAAATTTTAATTTTACGGGCAATTCTGTCAAAACTCTAAATTTTACATTTTTTAAAAATCATATTTAAATTTTTTTTCTTCATTTTTAAAATTTATCAAGTTAAGAACCCTGCTACTCAAAATAAATCCCTTTAAAAATCCCAATAAAAAAAATTTACAGTGGAACCTAAAATTTTTCGAACTCCCCTAACTAAAACCAATTTGTAAGTGTTTTTTTTGCAATATTTTTAAATAAGTAAAAAAGTATTTTTTGGGGGTCTGAAATGAACAAATTAATTTCCTTTTTTCCCTGATGGAATAAAATTTTTTGGTAACGGAAACTCGAACACCCGCCTGGAAGGGTTATACTTTATTAACTTGAAGCCTTTGAATATAAAAATTTAATATGGATTGTAAATAATTAAGGTGTCATCACATAACATAAACAGAACTGATCCCTACTGACCGTATTTTAAATGTGGTTTTTGAGACTTCATTCAGGGGAAGAAAGTGAGTGTTATTTCCGGGTTAAAGGGGAGGGCCCGTGTGAAAGATTTCATTCAGACACGAGCAACACCCCCAAACCGCTAGATTTTCCCAAAGTCCACGTCCTTTTAGCGGGGGAAGAAGTCGAGGAATATACATTTCCCTGGGAACCCATCGTCCCCCGTAAACCGGGGCTCAAAACCGGGCCCCATATTTTGAAAAAGAAGCTTTAATGAAAGGAATGCAAAGTAATTACGGGGAAGGCCTGAATGATAGCTCTGGTCATTGTGTTGCAATCAATAAAACCAAACAGGTGTTTTGCAATGCGGAGAAATGAAGGAAAGTTATCTTTCAACCCCCCCCCAGGGTTTTTTTTTCATATTTTTTCTTTCATCACTTTCGAAATTTCCCTGCAAAATTTAAAGGAATATGACGGGGAAAAAACTCAGTATTAAAGAATCACGGGGAAAAAGGAAATTTTACTGAAAAATAAAAAAAAAGGAAAAAAATTTTATTTGCCCTTGTATGTTTTCTTGAGAGAGGGGAAAAGATAGACAACCTTGCCGGGGTAAAACATTGAAAAAGACTCACCTTATGACAGGAAAGGGACATAGCATCTTCTTACGGGTTTTGAAAATATTTAGTAATATGACACTCACAGCCTTTTTATAACAAAAGGGCAATGGAAGGACCCCGTCATTTCCTGCGTGAATAATGAGAAAAATTTTTTGTATTCTACCCCGTAAAAAACTTAAATTTCGAACTTTAAAAAATTTAAAATTTTATCAAAAAATTTTCACCCCCAAATTAATAATAAAGAAAATAATTTACAAAAGTGGACCCCCCGGGATTCGATATTTAAACCGTTTCCCCGAGGCCATTTAATGTCGAAAATATCGAAAGTCGAATTAAAATTTTTCCCCCTAAGAAATAATGGAAAAACAAAATTAAACCGTGTAAGAAAACCCAAAAATAGGGAAAAAAAAAAATTTTTCCACATGAAATATTTAAAAAAATAAATAATTACAAAACAACAATAACAATAGTTTAAAAAAACAATAGAATAATTTTACACTTACCTTAAAAAAAGATCTGGGGATGATTTTAAAGGGATGGGAAGAGGGGGGAGTGTGGATGGTGTTAGTGTTTAGAAGGGGGAAACCCCTTCCATTAAGACTTGAACGGCACCTCACCAAAGCCTTAAAACCCCATTGTGTAAGCCACTACATTCTTAAATCTTTTAACCCAAACCTTTTTCTGGCCTTAAATTCACTTACATCACCACTAGTTGGGAGGGAATTTTTTTTACCAAAATTTCAGGGAAAATCCCCACACACCACCCCCTTTCCCTACTTTGCAATTACTTTTTTCTTCATTTTAATAACATTAGCAACTTTTTTTTTCGAAGGGTTGGGACTAGAACTTTTTTTGGGGGCCTGCTTACTTATTTTTTCAGAAACAAGCACCAAAAACAGTGAAAAATATTTGGGTAATAGGAATGAACCGAATGTAAACCTTAGATGCTTTCACACTGGCTGGGTTGTAAACCCCTGGCACACACAGTGGGAGTCAGGCCCCAAAGGGACACGTCCCCGTAAAGAATTCTATTGAATGTCGGGGTTTTTTCCCCGAATTTTTAGGGGAAAATTTTTTCGTTAAAATGCATCGGGGGGGGGGGGGAAAATTTGGATTTTTTGAATGTCGTGCCCAATTCCCCAATGTCGGGGGTTCCCCTGTATTTGTTTTTCTGTCACTCTTTTCCTGTCTAGACTTAATAATCTGTAAGTATTTTGGTTTAAATCTGCCCGAAATGCCTTGGGATGATAAGGGGCTTTTTTTTTTAAAACAAATTATTAAAAGTAAAAACCCATTTAGCCTTAGCAAAGAAATAAAATTCTTATTATTTTTTGTTATACATCACTATTTCTACTAAGGAGGGTATACAAAGAAAAAATGGGTGGGGATACTGCAAGAATTTGGAAAAAAAAACCCTACTTATGTATATTAAAAGGGCATTTATTGAGGGAAAAGTCCCAACACAGGCCCTTTTAAAAATTTTATCTGTTAAAATCCCTTTTTTCCCCGTTTTTTTCTTTCATTACATTCCCCTAAGAAAGCATAGCACCATTTTTTTTTCTTAAAAGCCTAAACCAAAAATAACACCATATAGCCTAATCTTAGGGAAACTCTGACCAACACAATACCATGACGAACCCCATTGGGCCCGATGGCTAAAGCTCCCCACTTCACACGGGGAGGGTCTGGGTTCGAATTTCCCAGCGAAGGGAAAATAACACGGGGATATTTCCCTTTTTACTATTTCTATTTTTCCTTTAAATAAAATGGGGACCTGGGTTAGTCGACTGGTGTGGGGCGCATCCTGGGACAAAAAATGACCCAATTTTCCCCCAAATGCTCGCATAACAGGCGGCTTTTTTATGTAAATATAACAGCGGGTTTTTTTATGATTTGGATGTCATTGATGTTAGTTAAGTCCCGTTACCTTTACATGCCTTGGAAAAAAAAAAGATATTATATTGTTTGGGACCTTAATCTTAGAAGCCCAAAACCCAAAACAAAAAGAAACCCCAAATACTTTAACTTAAGAACCCCCTTTTTAAAAAACCCAAAATAACATTAGTAAGCTCTAATCAAAATAGCTCGGGCAGCATAACCACTTACAGCTCTGATTAACACAATACAATGATAACTTAACCTCAAGAAGTTCCAATCAACATAAATCCAGAGGGAACTTACGGAACAGTGACCCACTGATATATGTGGCATAAATGCTTGCTGAAAAAGGTGGGTTGGGTGCAGCTGTAAGATTGATGGAAATATTGAATCCTTCTTTGACGCCCAGGCAAGGGCACAGAGGCGTTGCTGTCCAATTGTTGCTTACTACTGGGACTACATGAATAAAGCTGGAATAATTTACCTGTAAATCAAAATATTACAAAATTTAACATATATTTATCTTACACACTAATGTAATGTCACCATGGTTGTTTAATATATTTATAGATGGGGTTGTAAAAGAAGTAAATGCTAGGGTGTTCGGGAGAGGGGTGGGATTAAATTATGGGGAATCAAATTTAAAATGGGAATTGACAGTTACTTTTTGCTGATGATACTGTGCTTATGGGAGATTCTAAAGAAAAATTGCAAAGGTTAGTGGATGAGTTTGAGAATGTGTGTAAAGGTAGAAAGTTGAAAGTGAACATAGAAAAGAGTAAGGTGATGAGGGTATCAAATGATTTAGATAAAGAAAAATTGATATCAAATTGGGGAGGAGGAGTATGGAAGAAGTGAATGTTTTCAGATACTTGGGAAGTTGACGTGTCGGCGGATGGATTTATGAAGGATGAGGTTAATCATAAAAATTGATGAGGGAAAAAAGGTGAGTGGGGCATTGAGGTATATGTGGAGTCAAAAAACGTTATCTATGGAGGCAAGAAGGGAATGTATGAAAGTATAGTAGTACCAACACTCTTATATGGATGTGAAGCTTGGGTGGTAAATGCAGCAGCGAGGAGACGGTTTGGAGGGAGTGGAGATGTCCTGTCTAAGGGGAATGTGTGGTGTAAATTTTTATGCAGAAAATTCGGAGTGTGGAAATTAGGAGAAGGTGTGGAGTTAATAAAAGCATTAGTCAGAGGCAGAAGAGGGGTTGTTTAGGTGGTTGGTCATTTAAGAGAGAATGGATCAAAGTAGAATGACATGGAAAGCATATAAATTTTATAGGGAAGGAAAGAGGGGTAGGGGTCGTCCTCGAAAGGGTTGGAAAGAGGGGGTAAAGGAGGTTTTGTGGGTGAGGGGCTTGGACTTCCAGCAAGCGTGCAGAGCGTGTTTGATAGGAGTGAATGGAGACGAATGATACTTGGGACCTGACGATCTGTTGGAGTGTGAGCAGGGTAATATTTAGTGAAGGGAATCCCGGGAAACCGGTTATTTTCATATAGTCAGGGCTTGAGTCCTGGAAATGGGAAATACAATGCCTGCACTTAAAAAGGGGGGGTTTGGGATATTGGCAGTTTGGAGGGATATGTTTTTGTAATCTCTATACGTATATGCTTCTAAACTGTTATATTCTGAGCACCTCTGCAAAAGCAGTGATAATGTGTGAATGTGGTGAAAGTGTTGAATGATGATGAAAGTATTTTCTTTTTGGGGATTTTCTTTCTTTTTTTTTGGGTCACCCTGCCTCGGTGGGAGACGACCGACTTGTTGAAAAAAAAAAAAAAAAAACTTATAAGCATTAATATTTTTTTTTAATATTTGCTGTAATGTTGTGGTGTCACATAGATCAGGGGAGCCACACAATGTTGTGTATCAAACTATGATAATAGTGAAAGAAAAATATTAAAACTTCTTTATAACAAAAGGTATTTCTAAAAATTGTATTGCTAGGTGTCAGAAAATAATATGCGAGTCTTACATACACGACACTATTTACTTATTACAGATTAATCCTCTATTAAAACACCTTATTTTTTACTATCCTTGGGTATGGGTATTATTGTGTTGACTTTTTTCTAAATGGGGTAGAATACCTACCTCAAGCATACCAGAGTAAGAGATCATCACTATGAACTAAGAAAGAAGAGCTGCCACGTGTATGCTAAAAAGTTCTTCACGGAGCAATAGAACAGCTTACATGAGGAGGTAGTGATGGCTGTAATAGTTGGTCTTTCCTAGACTAATTATTTTGTGTGACTGTACCCTGAGGGTTTCTGCTTAATAATAAAATATGAGAATAAATATTACAACCAGGACAGAATAAATGCTGAAGACAGGTCACCATGAGCTTTGTTCTGCTCCTGTAACTAGTGGTAATCACAGGTATTTACAAATAGGTAATCACAAACAATTATTATTATTTTTTATTATTATCACACTGGCCGATTCCCACCAAGGCAGGGTGGCCCGAAAAAGAAAAACTTTCACCATCATTCACTCCATCACTGTCTTGCCAGAAGGGTGCTTTACACTACAGTTTAAACTGCAACATTAACACCCCTCCTGCAGAGTGCAGGCACTGTAATTCCAAACAAGTCATCACAAAAAAGTCATCACAAACATAACTATGAATAAAGATTAAAAAGTGCACAATAATGTACAATACTCACCCAGTTCAGAGCATTGGAAGCATTTCCAAGAAGAGTATAATTTCCAGTCTTATTATAAGTCAGTTGCACTACCCAATCCATACCTGTTGAATCTGACAAAGACAATAAAAAAAATGGTATATGTAATCCATGACGATATGTTAAAACTTCCGAACGCCATCACCATAGGCCTACTCTGCCTCTAAAATCTTACCAAATTCAGTGATTTAAAAATATTTCTGAACAATTATTTCACATTACTATGAAGTATATGATCACACAATGCTTAACCCTTAAACTGTCCAAACAAATTTACGTTCACATGCGTAGTGCTCCAAAAGTAGATCTACATTTTTTTACATATTTTCAAATATAACAAAAAAACAAAGTAGATCAAAGATGATCTACTTTTTTTACATACTTTCAAATGTTGAAAAAACGTAGATCTACGTTAGGACAGTTTAAGGGTTAAACAAATCAAATTAATCTTGAGTGACAATACACTACTTTAAAACAATAGAAATTTCCATAACTCAAAGACTTCTATACAAAAATTAATATAGAAGATAAAATCACACATGTTAGTAATGACACACTGCAACAGTTTAAAAAGCATTAAAATTTCAACTCATCAAGCTCAGGGTTGTTAAGATGCCAATAAAGGCCACTTAATTCAAGGTTATCCTCCCCCTCCTTGGATCAAATCTGATTACATACAGTACTATATTTTCTGACATACAGTGGAACCTCAAAAATCGAACCGCTCCCAACTCAACCAATTATGTAAGTGTATTTTTGTAAGTGCTTTTATAAGTGTATTTTTGAGGGTCTTAAATGGTCTAATCTAATTTACATTATTCCTGATGGGAATAAATTCGTTCAGTAGTGGCACTCGAACAGCCTTCTGGACCGAAGAAAGTTCGATATTTGAGGTTCCACTGTATAAGGCATGCTTTTTCCCCCACAAAAGTTTTGGAAAATCAGCCTGCATCTTACATGCTCAAGGTCAGGGTCAAGGGTAGGCTTCATGTTATGCTTTAGCATTTTGTTTGTTACAATTGCTGGGAAACACAATCTTATATAGACCGGGCCGCAGGGGCACTGACCACCGAAACCTTCTCCAGGAATACCCCAGGTATGTTCATGCACAATATATGCTGGAAAATACAGTATACTCATATAATAATAATAATAATAATACTAACTAGCAAAGTAGGTGTATGCAACTTTAGGACCCCAGTTAAGACTAGAGAAGAGAGGAGCACCCTGAAAATAGAATCATTATTAATACTAAGCTATGAAAGTATATAATATTCATGCATTTGCAGTTATACATGGTGTAAATATTATGCAGAGAATTCAAATAGTAGAAATTAAAAGGCATCAGGTTATGAAAGGTCGAAGCCAGAGAGTAGTGTTGAAATGGTTTATTAGGAAGAGAAGGAGCAGAACAGGATGACCAAGAGTGTATAAATCTGGGGCAGTAGTAGTAGCAGTAGTACTATACTGTGGTAGTAGTACTGTAGAAGTAGTGTCAGAAGTAGTATTGTAGTAGCAGTAGTGTCAGCAGTAGTACTGTAGTAGTAGCAGTAGTAGTGTGAGAAGCAGTATTGTTGTAGTAGTATTAGTACGCAGTAGTTGCACTGTAGTAAGACAGACCTTAGTAAAGGTGATGTGGAAGGGAGTTGTGTAGAAGAGTGGAACCCAAAATTCATCAACTAAGTCTGGTTCACTGACAAGTTCCTGACATACTGTTGAAGCTTGGCCGGTCCAGTTACTTGCTGCCCCCAGTAACTTACTCGTAATCTGAAAACAAACTACATAATTAGCCTTTAACTATTAAGGAGACAATTAAAATGGAGCACCACTATTCCATATTTACCAGTGTATATACATAAAGTAATTTATTTCAAATGCAAAATGATATCTCACATAAATAATGCAAAGCCTCAGTGAAGGAAATATTTTGGGAGAGGCACAGACTACTGAAATTTGTTTAGAAGAGGAAATATTTAGACAAAGATTGATTTCCACATGATAACTGTTTATGCTTTGTTATTGTATTAAAGTTCCCCTGACTGATGATGTACAGGTATAACACAGCCTTAATTAATGACCCTGGTTCAGTAAACAGGCTTTAAACCTAACCAAAAGAGACATACAGGAATCTACGTACCACATAGGTCAGATTGTGGGTTCCTTTCAGGGAGTACATAGAAGTATTTTGTGTATAAGGTGTAGGAACAAGGGCAGTAGGAATAGATGAAGCTGTGGCACAGTCCACCTTGTAGCTCATATTAACTAGCTGATGTTCCCTCACAGTTGCACTTATGACCAATCTAAAATGAAAACGTTACTAAATATACATATTTGAGGGTCCAAAACTCAAAATATTTAGTAAAATCACACAAATTATTATTATAATCAAAAAGAAGTGCCAAACGTACAAGGGTCATACAGAGCAGAAAATCACACAAAGAGGCACACATACCATACACAAATATAAAAAAAACGTTAAGATAATGCAAAAAAATGCATCAAGGTAGTAACTGTGCTGAAGGCAATGATTAGATTTTGCCACCGAAGTGGCTAGTTTATTGTGCACCCATATCCAACCTTTGGACAGTAGTGCAAGAATATATGGATACACAAAAGGCCTAGGAACTAGGCCCCAAAAGGATTAACATGTGTACATTTGGATTTATATCTACATATCTACAGTTCACTTATCTGTTACGGGCAAATTTAGTTAATTTGCTTAGTATATCTTATTTTCATTAATAAGACATCTTGACATGTCACATAGGTTATTATACTGTCTGTCTCTGTATTCCTCAATAAGTGGACAATTAAGCACATAGTGTTCAAGACAGTGACCATATGCCTGATCACATAATTTACATTTAGTTTGATCATCATCTGTGTGTCTCCCAAACTGCCAGAAGTACTTGTAACCAAGCCTAAGCCTGGCCACTACAACATCAGTCAGTACTTGTAACCAAGCCTAAGCCTGGCCACTACAACATCAGTCAGTACTTGTAACCAAGCCTAAGCCTGGCCACTACAACATCAGTCAGTACTTGTAACCAAGCCTAAGCCTGGCCACTACAACATCAGTCAGTACTTGTAACCAAGCCTAAGCCTGGCCACTACAACATCAGTCAGTACTTGTAACCAAGCCTAAGCCTGGCCACTACAACATCAGTCAGTACTTGTAACCAAGCCTAAGCCTGGCCACTACAACATCAGTCAGTACTTGTAACCAAGCCTAAGCCTGGCCACTACAACATCAGTCAGTCTGTTCACATTGCAAGTTGCTCCATAAACATACTTATCTATTTTCATGTTATCATAGTGGGTTATAGATCTACTCAGGCTTCTAATTGCATTCCTATAACAATCATTTTCAATATTTACTTCTCTCCTAATATTATTCCTGATGCTAGACACAGTTATGGTGGCCTGGTGGTTAACGCTCTCGCTTCACACGGTGAGGGCCTGGGTTCGATTCCCAGCCAGAGTAGAAACATTGGGCGTGTTTCTTTCCAACTGTTGTCTATGTTCCCCATCAGTAAAATGGGTACCTGGGTGTTAGTCGACTGGTGTGGGTCGCATCCTGGGACACTGACCTAATTTGCCCGAGATGCTCAGCATAACAAGTGGCTTTCTATGTAGTAGTATGTCATTGTTGTCAGCTAGGACTGTATACCATGTACATGTACTTGTAGTAAATAAAGATTATTATTATTATTATAAAATTATATTCTACATTCTCCTTCTGGGTACTCTTCTTGGCTAACATATCAACTTTATTATGAAGGAGTAATCCAAAGTGTGATGGGATCCATAGCAATTGTACATTAATTCCTTTGTCCCTGATTTTTGAGTATCTGTACCTGGCTTCTCCAGAGAGGGACCTACAGGTCCAGAGAGGGACCTACAGGTCCAGAGAGGGACCTACAGGTCCAGAGAGGGACCTACAGGTCCAGAGAGGGACCTACAGGTTCAAAGAGGGACCTACAGGTCCAGAGGGACCTACAGGTTGTATTAGAGAGGGACCTACAGGTCCAGAGAGGGACCTACAGGTCCAGAGAGGGACCTACAGGTCCAGAGAGGGACCTACAGGTCCAGAGAGGGACCTACAGGTCCAGAGAGGGACTTACAGGTCCAGAGAGGGACCTACAGGTCCAGAGAGGGACCTACAGGTCCAGAGAGGGACCTACAGGTCCAGAGAGGGACCTACAGGTCCAGAGAGGGACCTACAGGTCCAGAGAGGGACCTACAGGTTGTATTAGAGGGACCTACAGGTCCAGAGAGGGACCTACAGGTCCAGAGAGGGACCTACAGGTCTAGAGAGGGACCTACAGGTCTAGAGAGGGACTTACAGGTTGTATTAGAGGAGGTCCAGAGAGGGACCTACAGGTTGTACTAGAGAGGGACCTACAGGTTGTACTAGAGGGACCTACAGGTCCCTCTCTAATACAACCTTCCCAACATTCTCCACCTAACTCTTCACACTATAAATTCATGTACTCTTTACCCAGGTAGATCTGTTAGTGACTTGATAAAGATCGCTGTGTGGGTGAAACATAGTAAATGATCACATTATATTGTATTTGTGTTTATTTTTCCATCGTATTGGTATTTTATACCTTTTATCTCTACAGAGACATCAGCACTGGTGGAAGACAAAGTTGAGAGGTAGTTGTTGTAATCAAGCACCCTCTCAACTTTGTCTTCCACCAGTGCTGATGTCTCTGTAATTGACTGATAAAGCCTGCAGCGCAGGCGAAACGTTTACCCAATAAAGATTCTTAGTGTTTCCCTGTGTCATACTCCTCAGGTTTGTCGGTCAAAAATCAAGAAGCGGAACCTAGACATCAAACTTTCTTCCCGACAAACTCATATATACCGTAAATACAAATAAATGATCACAATAACACAGCAGATCAAATGCTGAGTGTCAGTGGTTCGATCCCCGGCATGGGTGGAAACACTAAGCATGTTTCCTTACACCGAAATACAGATTCACATATTCAGGACTTGCTCTGATACCTACTCTTCCTAGTCTCCCTGTGATCCCCGTTGGGGAGGGGAACCTCTACCTTTCATCTTCATCCTTGGATCAAGATGAATTCTCCAGTCAAGATAAAACCCTCCAGTGGGACGGTGATTGACTCTATGAAGCTTGCCATTGTTACTACCTTGCGGACTGAACTTAGTTAAATCCTCTGCTAAGACTAGTCTCTTAGATTAAAGCTAACCTATGACACTGAGCTTGACTCTATCATCATTACTGATTCTATGTCATCATTGAAGGCTCTTGGCTCATATAATGACTCCAACAACATGCTCATTGGGGAAGCCAGGTATAGATACTCAAAAATTAGGGACAAAGGAATTAATGTACAATTGCTATGGATCCCATCACATATTGGATTACTAGTCTCTCTGACAATGGGTTTCAAGTTATTTAATATCCAGCGAATCGAGCCAAACGTTTTATCTTCCTCAAGAAGCTTGATAAATTTATCACATCTTAAGTCCTGCACTGCTACTACTCCACCTAAATGTCTTCACTGCAAAACGGACCATCATACTCTTGCTTCAAGATGCCCCATCGGCCATCCACCGTGAACCTCTGAAGACCCAAGAAGCAGAACAGAAAAAGATACCATTCAAGTCTCCTACTTATGCAGTCAGACACTTCAAAACTTCTCAAGGTCACTCTACCCTCCATCACTCCTCCAGCCTGTGACCCAACCAAGATACATTACTGTCTGCCCACATACATATGGCACAGCCTGGCTCCTTTAAGGACGTTATCAACGAGTTCTTTGAACTAACCAACATGCCCAAATTCGTCTTCCCAGCCTCTCCACCGTCTGCAGACATTTCTAAGTTCGCAAAAGATTTAGTTAATGTGTCTGCACACCAGCAACAGCAGGTTCACCACCATCACTAACTGTACGTGACGTCACTCCACCTCCAACCACCAGACTTTGTACACCACTTGACATTTTCCTAACGAAATGACTGGCCAGGAACTAGTCACCTCTCTGGAGGCCGGGACTACTAAGTTCACCTGATGAACTACTCGATATCCTTTTCCAGTAGTATTTCCATCCTTCTTATCTTAGGACAGCTCTTGTCGTCTTCGTTAGTTCCTTACACCTACTGTCCCTGTTCGTCCAGAAGTAAGTAGGTGCCTGGGTGTTAGGTGACCGGTGTGGGTTGCACCCTGGGGGACAAGACCAAAGGGTCGTAATGGAAATAAGACAGACGGCCACTGATGACACACTGATTTTATTGGGTTATCCTGGGTGACTAACTCTCCTCTGGGTGTAAAATACCAATAAAATTTCCTCTTAATTGGTGTTGAAGGGCTCTTGATCCAAGTAATTGTAGCTATTCTTTCCTACTGTTTGTTGTTGTTATAATATTAGTCAGGAGACAGGACAAGTGTCTCTTCAAATGGGTCTTAAACACGTGCATGACACGTTTTATACTTGATGTGTAATACAATTTTCCTACTTTTTGACCAAACCTGACTACTTCTTGACGACTACTGCGGGTTTGGCGCTTCCCCATAAGTAAGTTTATTCAGGTATACACAAATACAGTTACATAGATTATCATACATAGCACATATATGTAGAGACCCTGGGATACACATGACTAATTAAATTAATTTTGTCTTATACCTACTAAAACTACATAATGTGCTGATGCTTGTTATATTCAACTTACTTCTTGGTAATATTTGCTGTTTCCTGGGCAGTGGTAGCGTCCACGTAAGATACAATGATGTCCAGATGTTCGTCTACATGTCTCGATCTTGTACTGATCTGAAACAATTTTACGAGATGTTTAATAAATGTTTAATTTGATAAAGTGTCTCATACAATGGGCTTTTATATACACTTTATCTGTAGTTGGTATTTCCTGCATATTTTGTTCTACAATGCTAAGATACAAAAATGTTTTGATTTACCTGCATTAACTTCCTATTAAATAAATATTCTTATTAATGCCATGATTTAGATTATCTATGACTCCATATATGCATATGTGATACATTGTGTATATGTAAGTATCTGGGGTCTGGTTATGTGGTAAATGTATTGTGAACTTTGATGCAGAATGCGCAGGTTCGAATCCTGCTGTGGGCTGATACCTGGAGTTTACCTGGAGAGAGTTCCGGGGGTCAACGCCCCCGCGGCCCGGTCTGTGACCAGGCCTCCTGGTGGATCAGATAGGCGAAAGTAAAAAAAAAAAAAGCCTGTTTGCGACTTGTTAAGCATGTATATAAACTTACACACACACAGTGAAGAGGCGGGTCCATGAGCTATGTAGTCAACCCCTGCAACCACAATTAGGTTACCTGGAGGTTACCTGGAGGTTATTCCGGGGATCAACGCCCCCGCGGCCCGGTCCACGACCAGGCCTCCCGATGGATCAGGGCCTGATCAACTAGACTGTTACTGCTGGCCGCACGCAGTCCGACGTACGAGCCACAGCCCGGCTGATCCGGCACCGACTTTAGGTATCTGTCCAGCTCTCTCTTGAAGGCAGCCAGGGGTTTATTGGCAATTCCCCTAATGCTTGATGGGAGGCTGTTGAACAGTTTTGGGCCCCGGACACTTATGGTGTTTTCTCTTAGTGTATTGGCGGCATTTTGCATCGCCTGCCCAGTCTTTTACTTTCGTAGGGAGTGATTTCTGTGTGCAGATTTGGGACCATTTTCCTGAGCTCTGATCATACAAGTTTTTCAGACATTTGTTCCCTCTACGTCTTCAGGACACTGAATTGTAACTTAGTAATAACAGATGCCGTGCTCCTGACCTAACTAGGTTAGGGCATTGGCTTAAGTCGGTGGGAGACTTGGACCTGCCTCTCATGGGCCAGTATGCCTGCTGCAGTGTTCCTTTTGTTATGTTCTTAGAATAATAACCTTAAAATGTAGGCCTCAGTCAGATGACCTCGGAAGGACTCAGTCTGATGACCTCAGGAGGACTCAGTCAGATGACCTCGGAAGGACTCAGTCTGATGACCTCAGGAGGACTCAGATGACCTCAGAAGGCCTCAGTCAATGGAAATATAAACATATGCAGTATAATGTGATCCTCTGTTGACAACGCTTCGCCCACACAGTGGACTTTTTCAAGTCACAAACAGATCTACCTGTTTGTGACTTGAAAAAGCCCACTGTGTGGGCGAAACGTTGTCAATAAAGGATCACATTATACTGCATATGTATTTATATTTCCATTGTGTCGGTATTTTATACCATTTATTTCCAGGCTTGCGTGCAGCCAGCAGCAACAGCCTGGTTGATCAGGCTCTGATCCACCAGGAGGCCTGGTCACAGACCGGGCCGCGGGGGCATTGACCCCCGGAACTCTCTCCAGGTAAACTCCAGTCAAACGACCTCAGAAGTCCTCGGTCAGATGACCAAAAGCTCCAGCTTTTACAAATCAAATCTCTAAGAAAATTTAACGATTTTGGAGTAATGCCAACGTGTTTAGTAGTAGTAGTAATAATAATAATAATAATATACTAACATTGAGGGGAGCAGAGTAGCAGTCAGCAGTGTTGAGGCAGCCAACAGCAAGTCTCTCACCTTTATGAACCTCAACATCATCCACATCAAACACATGGGTATAATTTACATTCACAATATTCACATAGAATGAATACAAGAGTCTGTACTGAAAGTTGGAGTTTAGTGCTGTTGTACCTGCAACAAATAATATTAACTAACAGTATTTTAAAGTCTTGATATTACTGGTTTTTGGCTATATTATTTAATGTTAAATATTTACATGGATAATCCACACTTGTTACTGCTTTATATACAGAGATATTATTTCAAGGACCACAATGTCAGTAAGTTTATTTAGACACAGGTATACATAAGTAGCTGGATTGGCAGCTCACACAGTGAGGTCCGGGGTTCGATCCCCGGTACGGATAAAAACACCTGTTGTCCGTGTTCACCCATCAGTAAAATAGGTACCTGGGTGTTAGTAGACTAGAGAAGGTCGCATCCTGGGACAAAATGACCTAATTTGCCCGAAATGTTCAGCATAACAAGGGGCTTTCTGTATAGTAATATGTCATTGATGTCAGCTAGGACTGTATACCTTGTACATGTAGAAATAGAGATTATTATTATTATCATACATACAGTAAATTACCCAACCCAAAAAAGACAGCCAAAGTAACTTATTTCCATTAGGGTCCGACTTTTTTTTTTTTGGGGGGGGGGGTTATCGTAGGTAATTGACATCAGTTCCAATTAAAATATATAAAAAAAACGCTAAGTAGTTTTATATTGACAGTTTGTGTACAAAACTATTAAGAATAGTGAAATATATAGTGAAAAGAGTTAAACAGTACTCTATAGAATAGACGGGAAATATAATTATGACACTGTATGATATTTGGACTTATAAATAATAATAATAATAATAATAATAATAATAATAATAATATCTTTATTTCTACAAATACATGTACAAGGTACCATAGCTGACATCAATCACATACTACTATATAGAAAGCCCATTGTTATGCTGAGCATATCGGGAAAATTAGATCAGTTTTGTCCCAGGATGCGACCCACACTAGTCCACTAACACCCAGGTACCCATTTTACTGATGGGGAATATGGACAACCGGTGTAAAGAAACACGCCCAATGTTTCTACCCTCGCTGGTAACTGAACCCAGAAAATCCACGTGTGAAGCCAGAGCTTTAGCCACCAGACCACGAGGCACCGTGAGTAAATAGCCTTATTTATATATTTGTAATTAGCAAGGGAAATATTTCAGTCAGATCAGAAGCAGCTTACCAGCAGTGCAAGTAGGTCCATTACACTTGGTGGTTATAGCACAGAAGTAGTCAGCACAGGTCTGAGAGAAGTAGTCAGGTACACAACCTATGTTACACTGGCTTGTCTCCGAGCAGTAGGTACCAGAGGAACACCCAGGAAACAGCGCCTATGGTAACATTCAGAAATTATGCACTTTTCTGACACATAATGAAAAGGGTAGTTTGGTGAAACGTCTATAATAAAGATACCCAGATATTGAACGTTTGTCTAATTCTTCAATCTGTTCAGTTCAAGGCATAGTGATATACGATAACGAGAAGACAACGTTCTTGATCAACAATATTTAAGGACCATGTATGTATTTAAAACAGACTCACAGGAACCTTAATTCAAAATTATGCTGAGCAAAGAAACAAAGACAGTTACTGGCTGCTGCTATGCCCAATGATCAGTTAACTAAGACGGGGCCAGGAGCTATGAATCGACCCCTGCAACCACAAAAAAGTGAGTACATCATGTGAAATTTCCATTAAATACCTTGAATACTTCAAATAGCCTACACTGGCACCATCTTGACCAGACTAGTACACTGGCCATTAGTCAGCCAGTGTATGTTATTTTTACATAGATTATGTTATTACAACAATGACTGAACAGAAGCTTCATGTTACTTATGAACATCACGTATTATCCAGTAAAATTATTTATCCAAAACTTTTGTTCCTGACCTTTTCGAATAAAAAAAGTCGTGTTTAAAGAAAGAATAAACTAACTCACTATACACTGAGAGATTCATTTCTCTCAGTGTGTATATATATTTCTAAGAGTTGACTTTAATCTCTACTTAGAAATTCAAGTATTTATGACTTTGTGATGGACAGGTGAGAGTCTAAATGACCCTCGTGTAACTGATAGGTTTTAAACCCCATTAACCAACCAACTATTATATTACCATTAATGTCAATGCTAGAATTGTAGTTCAGAAAACAATGAAGATACATTGATGACTTACGTAGAGAGCGACCCATCCTACTTTAGTAGCAATAAGTGTGACCTGGGATAGATAACCAGCTTTGACACCATCAACATGGAACATAACAGCGGTGGTTGTGGCCACAAAGTGAGAAGTTACTGGAGTTATGGAACCCATTATTGATCCATAAACTTTGATCTTTTTACCTGTAACCAATATACCACATCTTTATGAACATTGAAATGTATTTAGACATTTTTATTATTATAACACATAGGGTATTACACACACAGTAGCGGCCAGTGCAGAGGCTGGGCCAGGAGCTATGACTCGACCCCTGCAACCACACACATGTGTGTGTGTGCTTTAAAAACATTCACTTTACAAGAATTTACTGTATGGCAAGTAATTCTTGTAATCTTCAAATGTGATTCATATATGCTGGAACATTAATATTGTAATTCAAGATTATTATAAAGTCATTTGATTTTGTCATTTCATGTTAGTGTAATTTATTACATTATTCTTGTTACGTCTTCTGATATAAATCAATATTTACCTGGGACAGGATACGAAGTGTTAGGTACTCCTGGTTCAGTAAATGAAGCATTTATCACGTTATCATAACCTTGATCCGAGGAGATGAGTTGGCACACAGTTGGCACTCCAACAGTAACATAACTAGGACACGTCAGTGTGGCATTGGGCTTTCCGATCACAGTTATTATAATACCATCCTTCACGTCTGGCAGCAATTCCAGGTAAGCTGTTAATAATAATTTTGTTGTTAACATCAATATATCACTTGAAGTTAGTTAAATATGTTTATTATGCACTTCATATCCATAGTGTGGGCGGTAGTCCAAAGATTGCACAGGTATACAATGAGTCCAGGGACTGGGCAGCAAAATTTTGATAGCTGAATAAGTTACAGTTTATATCTGGTCACAATCGTAATGAGTTATTTATGCAGACATGAATTAGGTCAGACACCTGAAGAGACACTAAATTAAGAGAAAATATAAAAAAATCAAGCAATTTTTGTTAACTTTTTCAGTGAACAGCAAAAATGTAAGACTAAATAAAGCATTTTGATAACAGAGACATGAGAAGGACTCCACTATTAGCGCAGTATACATTATGCTTTGGCGAAGATACAATAAAAATGTATGAGGGAAAACTAAATCCTTGGAAATTAGCTTGTGAACACAAATATATTTAGTTAGGATGACCGTAACAACGCCCGTGTACAACACAGGAACAACTGTGATCATCTGATGAAATGGAACGACTTCCAAGTAGTAATTCGTGACAGTGACTAACGTAGGCGAAAGTGCATGGAAGCTGCTTTAATTGTTATGACCTACACAAACCCATAAACAATTATTTGAAACATACTTTTTGTTTAAATAGGAACAAGAACAAGCATTCCCAACTAGGGATCATTCAGAAGCAGGAAATAAACTCACTCACCAATAATTTTAAAGTGGCCAGCCATAGTGTAGGTGTGATTGGTGCCGTTTATAATGTAAGGTGACCCATCACCCCAGTTTGTGACCCATGTGCTAGTAGCATTGACAGTCAGGTTCACGGTCTGTGGGGAGAAGCAATTTATAAATAGTGATATAAAAGATATACCTAGAGATATATAGTTTAAATGAGGAGCAGATATGGATAAAACAAATCTAACTTCCTTCCTGTGCTGAGCTTAATGACCAGTGAGTGACCTATACAGAGGTCAGGTTAAATTCACATAAATACAATTAAATTTACATTTTTATTTGACTAATATCTTCACTTACCTATAAGTTATGTATTATTATTAGAGCACCACACCCAAACGATGACATACACCTTGGGAATGTAAGTCAGTAAAATCAGGTTGACCGAGGAAGAGAGGATCAAACAAAACCTGGATCAAAATCCCTTCACCACAAGAAAGAATAATAATAATAAAAAAATTAATAATAATAATAATAATAATAATAATAATAATAATAATAACAATACACACAGAAACCTGTATGTACTAACGTTTTGCAGGAAGACTGTAGTATTCCAGTGAGAGTAAAGTTAAGGTGCCATCTAGAACACCTGCCGTCCACACTGTAAGGTTACCAGCTGTCCCTCCACACACTGAACCATCACTACAGGTAGCTAAACACTGTCCCGTGGCATTTACCAACGCTGTAGACAAGTTGTAATTTATGTATTAGTGAGATTAAATTTCTTCACAGAAGGCTTCATTAAATGCTCATCAGGATGACTAACTTCATTACTCTTTGTTGGAAAACCTATCTTGATGGAGTATCATCTTTAAACCACCTTGTTCATTGTGATGGAGTCTGACGTAAAAACCAGTATCGAGTATATGAAAACTCTTTTGTGTGACAGAACATTACCTGTCATTACAGCAATGAAATGAGTGAGATACTAAAACTGCAATATGAATCAATGTTTAACGAGGCGTGAACCAGACTAAGGGTCGACAATATAAATGATTTTTTTTATGACCGAGACTCAGAATTCGTTCAATTAAAAAATCCTAACACCACAAGACTTCGAAAAGGCAATAAGTGGAAGGCCCATGCAAGATAAGATAAGATAAGATTTCGTTCGGATTTTTAACCCCGGAGGGTTAGCCACCCAGGATAACCCAAGAAAGTCAGTGCGTCATCGAGGACTGTCTAACTTATTTCCATTGGGGTCCTTAATCTTGTCCCCCAGGATGCGACCCACACCAGTCGACTAACACCCAGGTACCTATTTGCTGCTAGGTGAACAGGACAACAGGTGTAAGGAAACGTGTCGAAATGTTTCCACCCGCCGGGAATCGAACCCGGGCCCTCCGTGTGTGAAGCGGGAGCTTTAGCCACCAGGCCACCGGGCTCTAGCCACCAGGCCACCGGGCACTCTACCCCAGGCCCGGATTCGTGGAACTCCATGTTCATCAAGAACTGCAAGAAGCCTTTAGCATTTATGGAAAGGGAGCATGGATACAGGCGTCATCCCACAGTCACTAAAACCAACAGACATAGTTCCACTCCACAAAGGTTCCAGTAAATCAATTGCAGAGAATTACAGACCGATAGCGCTAACGTCCCATATCATAAAAAAAACTTTGAATGGGTTACAAGACGCAAGATACCCATCAGTTACACAACCTAGGTCAGCACGGGTTAAGATCAGGTCGCTCTTGCCTGTCCCAACTAGAGGACCGCTATGACAAGGTCCTGATGTGCTAGAGGATAAAGAAAATGCAGATGTAGTATACACAGACTGATGTAGATGTAGTATACATCTAGTATACTACATCTAGTATACATTACCTTTGTAACTTGCCATGATTGTGACCAGATCTACCTGGAGCTCATTACCTTTGTAACTAGTACAGCTATCATAACTTTGGGGTCCAGTTCCTGGACCCATTATGTACCTTTGTAATCTTTTGACTACCGCCCACAGGATGGGTATGGGGTGCATAATAAAGATATTAAACTAACTAAACTAGTATACATGTATGTAATATACACACACCGTGGTCACACTTGTCGAAGGCGACAATGCACAAAATGCGCGATGAAGAAATGACAGGATATGTTGGTAGATGGATCTATAACTTCCTAACAAATAGAACACAAAGAGTAATAGTAAACCAAGTAAAGTCTGAGGCGTCTACAGTGAAAAGCTCTGTTCCACAAGGCACAGTACTCGCTCCCAGTGTTCCACAAGGCACAGTACTCGCTCCCATTCTGTTCCTGATCCTCATATCTGACATAGACAGAGATGTAAGCCACAGCACCGTGTCTTCCTTTGCGTATGACTCCCGAATTTCCGTAACAATGTCGTCCATCGAAGACACTACAAGACTCCAAGCAGACATCAACCAAAAATTTACATGGGCCTCAGAAAACAACATGAAGTTCAATGAAAAGAAATTTCAATTATTCCGATACAACAACGTATTTACCACATCTGCTAGAAAAATGATAGGATGGATAATGAGACCCTCCAAAACTAAGGATGCCAAGCCAATGATGATTCTCATCAAATCGCTTGTTTTCTCTACTGCTATACACTAACGGCCCCTTTCAAGGCAGGAGAAATTTCTGACCTGGAGAATGTACACAGAACTTTCACGGCACACATACGTACGATAAAACACCTAAGTTACTGGGAATGGTTGAAGTCCTTTGATTTGTATTCCCTGGAACGCAGGCGAGAAAGATACATGATAATACACGCTAGAAAAAACCTACAGGGATTAGTACCAAATTTGCACATGAAAATCACTCCCTACGAAAGCAAAAGACTCACCAGAAGATGCAACATCCCTACAATGAAAATTAGGGGCGTCACGAGTGCACTAGGAGACAACCCAGTAAGTGGCAGGGGCCCAAGACTGTTCAGCTGCCTCCCAGCATACATAAGGGGGATTACCAATAGGCCCCCTGGTTGTCTTCATCTTCACTAATTCTAAGCAGGTTTCATTCGGCCTTAATGACTTTTATGCAGTCGACAGGCTTTAAACCCTATTAATTATATATGCTTACAGTATTTAATTATGAGTACTTATTGCATAACACCGACAATAAGGTATCGAACTGTTGCAGAGGGAAACTTGCATCTTTAATGATCCACGTATAGTCTATGGGCTTGAAACCAAGAATTTTAAATTTATAAATGGACTTACTTCCCAAATTCTGAAAGCAGTAACAATATTTGCCCTCATCAGCGGCAGCAAAAGTGTAGTGAAGTCGACCACAAAAGTCTTGACAAACTTCAGGAGTGAGACTACCAGGGTCATAGTTGCCTGCAGACACAGTCGCCAGGGGCGCCACTACACTATCACCGTAGCATCCTCCTTCTGTAACAACAATTCAATGATGTTTTCGTACAAATGCAATGATGTTCTTATACAAATTCAATAATTTCCGAATGTTGCATATTTTCCCACTACATGTATCATGGTATCCTGCAATTTAGCATTAATTTGTAACGGGCAATATTAGAGCATAATAAATATAAATACATACAGGGCATCTCTCCGCTTAACAAAAAATGGGTACCTTTATTTTTACTTAAGTATTACATACCCACCAATGACGTGTTGTCATTAATAAATAAATAATATAGCTTCTTAGGGTTCATGACTAAGGAATTGAAATACCAGAATTTCAATAAAGAAAGTCTAGAGAAAGAGTTACCTACAACAAAAAATTCCATGACTTAAAATGAAGAGACAGAACTTGACAACATTCTCCAACATTAAGAGAAAGTCTGCTGGAAATACAGCACTAAAAGAAACTTAATGATCCTGAAGGGAAGCAAAATTTATTTGGGCACACTATCCTTGTTACCTTTTAGTTTAATATCTTCATTATGTACCCCATACCCATCCTGTGGGCGGTAGTCATAAAATTACAAAGGTACATAATTGGTCCATGTCCTTGTTACCCAGAGCAGACACCTTCACCTCAAGGACAGTCTGACATATCCAGTGGGAACACTACCACAGAACGGACAGAAGAAGGCCTGAGCTTGCTACCATCTGCAGCTCATAAGACTGCCATCCCCACGAGCCCCTTTGAGGCGGGGTAGATGGCAGACCAGAGGCCTAGCTTCTCCCTACGAGCCCCGTGAGGGCGGGGAATGTGGCTAGGCCTGGGGACACTTGGTCCCAAAGATGAGGAGGTACTGTACCTCCTCCCATGGGAGACTTAAGTCTCGAGACACTCCCCAGATAGGGAGCCAAGGCCGGGTCACCACTACTTGGAAAAGACCCGGGCCGGGAGAATACCGGTGAATAAAAAAAAAAAAAAAAAACAGAACGGACAGGACTGGAAGCCATGACAGGTCAGTAATAAATTAACCAAAGATTTCGCGAGTCATGGAAACCAATCAATATTACACATTCCTTGAAATACTTTTCTAAAATTATAAAGTTTTTTTTTTTATCCCTCAGGTTACGTACATTAAATATTTCGTTATGTAAGATAACACTATATAAAATAGTTCCACTTAAGTTTACCTACGAACGTTGTTGTGGCAGAAGCAGCTTGAGTCGGAGACAATAATGGCAGCAACAGTAGTGGTAGTTTGTGTATCCACATTATGCTGCCTCATCCAACATTTACAACCATTCAAATAAATCTGTAATGAAAATACATTTAATGTTGTACAATGTGTTAGTGTTGAAAGATAATGATTTTTTTAATTTCAAGATTTAATTATATCAGAGGGGGAGGGGAGGCCGTATGACTTATATTGTTTTGGTTAATATTGAGTTTAGGGGCTAAATAAGTAAGTTTATTCAGGTATATACACAAATACAGTTACACAGATTATCATACATAGCAGCATGTGTAGACAACCTGGGATAACCCCAAAAAGTCAGTCATAGGTCCTGACACAGATCATCTTTCCACGACTCGTGTTCTTTATTTTTATTAGGTTAGACAAGATTGGTCAGGAAACAAGACAATTATTTCCTGACGCGGGACCAACAATAGTCAGCTAATCCACAGGGACCTATTTACTATTAGGCGAATGGAAACACATTCCACGTCTCCACCCGTCCCAGGATCGAACTCGGGTACTTTGGTTGTAAGCCGTAAGCTATGTTGAGGAATCACAGGCCTTCTAAAATACACAATTTATCAAATGTCTGAAGACATGTTACATTAAATAAATAATTTTGTATTACGAGAATATTTACAAAATAAAAGTAAATTGTTTATTTAGTATTAACTACAAATTCAAATTGATTATAGCTTGAATTTGCATAGATTTATTTAATAAATTATTTGCGACAGACATTAAATTTTAGGGAAAACGTTGCTATTTTCACAGTGTCATCGACACCATGCCTAACCCTTCTAGGGTAGGGTAGGTGCCTGAGCCCGAGCCTTTAGCTCATAAGACTGTCATTCCCATTTGCTCCCTTGTGGCGGGGATGGCAGACCAGAGAGGCCTAGCTTGTGGCTAGGCCTGGGGACAGTTGGTCCCAAAGATGAGGAGGTACTTGTGCCTCCTCCCATGGGAGACTTAGGTCTCAGACACTCCCTAAAGAGGGAGCCAAGGCCGGGCCACCACTTGGAAAAGGCCCGGGCCGGGAGAATACCGGCTAATCTTTAATAATAATAATAATAATTCACAGTGTCTTTACAATCTGTTGTCATGATCACCAACACGCAGTAATTATCGACTGTGATTTTTTATGTACCTCAAATATCACATATTTTTTCAGAGACATGCGAGTTATATTGTACCATTTGTCCAACTATTTACCGAGTTTCATATTTTGCTGATTTAATACGATAAGAGACAAAAGTAATAATTATCAATGTCGCAAGAAATCAGACCAGGAGGAACTATATGTTCACTTTTTTTTTGTTGTTGTTGTTGTTGATGGTTGTAGTTCACACTTTAGAATGCTGATGATGGGCAGCAACAGCTTGATCAATCAGGCCAACAACCAGGAGGTCAGGTCATAGACTGGGCCGCGGGGACGCTGACCTCCGGAAGAGACTAGGGGTAACTCCAGAAAATATAAAATACATACATGTACGCAATATTTATGACATTTATTATCAGGTGTTTCGCCCAGTCCAGTCAGCGAAACGTTTAAATAAATGTCCGGTGTTGTACAGGAAGCTTTATTTTATAGTTCATCAGAACTATTATTATTATTATTATTATTATAATCAAGGGGAAGCGCTAAACCCGGAGGATTATAGAGCGCCTGGGGGGGGGGATGTGGAAGGCATTGAGGCTTAATTCGGGGAACTGGAGCACAGATCCAATTCCCTAAATCAAGAGCCCCTCACCAACATCAAGGAACCTTCCTTGAGGGATCAGAACTAATAAACTTTATTCTTATACTGATGATTGTAGTATACGTATTTTCTTCACAAGATGACACACATACAATACTGACAAGATGAAAATTAAATACCTGTGTAACATCTCCATAACTACAGTGATCTTCACACCAATAAGACTGAGGGCAATTGTGTCCGGGTGTGGACGTGTCAGTGGCTCATTACTTTGTAATTTGTTCATGATTGTAACCATGTATAGGAGTGTAGATGGTTCATTACCTTTGTAACTAGTTCAGCTATCATAACTTTGGGATCCAGTTCCTGGACCCATTATGTACCTCTGTAATCTTTTGACTACCGCCCACAGGATGGGTATGGGTGCATAAAATATTAAACTGAGGGACTGATTACCTCATCTTGTGTATACAGTTGTTTTGACTTCTATTCATCTCCTGTAATTTGCACTGATAAAGTCACTGGATGGTGAAACGTCTACAATAAAAATACCCAGATATTCCACAAGTGTTTAATTTTCAACGAGTAACCTTCCTAGGAACAACTTCAATATTTAGTGGCTGATCCATCCAATGATCATAACTTTTGAATTTTGGCTTTATTGGTGTAAATTTGTTAATTTATTAACATTTTATAATAATTTGGTGACCCACCTCGGCATGATAGTGGTTTTCTTTGTACCAATCAAATTATGAAATGTTAACTTTTGATTTTGATTTTGATTAGAATTTTCGGATTCTGTGCGAAAACTGGAGAATGTATTTTCTAATCGGCTTCAAACCTTTAGCTTCACACTGATTTTCGTATATCTAATTTGCTGTTTAAATAAAAGCTGTGTAATAAGTGAGAATGTCCCACGATAAACTTCAACCCTTAAACCTTAATTAAACGCTAATGTATCGAGTTTAGAGACAGGTCTGGGTTTATTTTGATGTGTAGGCGCCATATACCAATTTTTTGAAAGAAATTGGAAAAATTTAAATGGTGGTTTTCATGTGATGATTTGTGAATGCCAATTAGTTCACACTACAACTTCTGAGTAGTTTTAGGTTTAAAATATTGGCATACTAAGGGACACGGGTCTCTGTGTGATAACTAAAGAATGCCTCTTCAGAGTGGCTTTAAACTTTCAAAGGTGATATAGTGAGTTTCCTTGATGCCGTTGAAGAGTTCTTCATCCAAGAAATTGAACCTGATTTCTCCATCTTAGAACCGAACCTCATTGTTCTCCATCCCCTCAGGCGCTAGTGGAAGGTTCAAATTGGTTTTGGGTTGTGTAGGTATCAATTTGCTATTTATACTGAACAAACTATGATACCAATTTCCATGTGATAATTAGTGAACGTCTCTTGTGCTGTTTCATATCTTTAACACTGATATTTAACACTCAAAGATGCGTACATCATGATTCACGAAATCGTAATGGCACGATTGCAAACAAACCATGCCACGGGTGGGGTTTGAACCCACGTATCTCACACTTAAGGTGTGAATATCAGAGAGTTAAATGATCTATCAACTTCTATCAACCAACACCTCACAACTGACCTCGTTGCACCTACTGCTACAATACAGCAGGACACCACCTCAGTCACTGCCTTGCCGGCCGACTCCAGGTGAGCTACCAACCTCCATCGAATGCCCGGCAACCTTCGCCTGCAGCTGCGCTCTCCTGACCAACCTGACCAATTCAATGACGCACTGGTATAACATCAATTAGCATTGTGAAATTGATGGGCAGGAGGTATACCCTACTCATAAAACCAACCTCTTTATAAATTACTCAATATGCACACACGCATATTCAAATCACACCAAAGTGGATAGGCCACTACCCTTTTATAACCCCACCTACCCCTCCTCCTCCCCAACTTTTCCCAAATTCCATCCTTACCCATCCTTCTTCCCCCCTCCCCTCTTACCAAAGCTCTGGTCAGAACCTCGAACCTCGAAATGATCTCAATGGAAATAAGTCACTTTGACTTTTTTGGGTTATCCCAAGTTCTCTACACATATGCTGCTACACCTGTCAACAATTTTTGAAAAGTTATTTGCTACTTAAATGAAATTAGTTAATTCTTATGTATTTTCATGTCCTGAATCCAAATATTACCTTGAAAAATGCTTATTGAAGATATGAGACATGTAATATTTGATTATTTTATTATAACGTACAATATGTTAGTATGTTTTAAACTAATCCATACCTACTCTCTACCTCTTTTGCTTGACGCTTATAGTGGGCTGAAGAATCATCTCTTGCAAGTGTCCAGCAATAGTTTACAAACATTCTTGTGCCACATTTGCCGTGGTACCATTTTTCCATCGTTGAAATATCTTGGTGAAATCTTTCACCATGTTCGTCACTAACTGTCCTGCAGTTCACTGGAAAAGTCTAAATATGAGTCCAAAAAGTGGATTTTAAGTGACATGTTACATCTCATGTTCTTGTAAGCCTTGATGAGGTTTCCCACCAATTTTTCATAGTTGCCTTCCCTTCTGTTTCCGAGAAATCGATTCGCCACCAACTTGAATGCCTCACATACAGCTTTCTCCTCCCCATGGAGGTCTGATTCAAAGTCACCATCTTTAAGAAGCTCTCGAATCTGAGGACCATTAAGACTCCCTCTCTATCTTAGCGTCGCTCAGTGAGGGGAATTTTGATGTTAAATACTTGAATCACTGACTGGATTTGTCCACAGCTTGTACAAAGTTTTTCACGACCCCCAGTTTTATGTGTAGTGGTGGTAGCAAAATTTTGTTTGGTTCAATGAGAGGTGGATGTTGAACATTTTTCATTCCAGGCTCCAATGACTGTCGAGGTGGCCAGTCTCTCCTGATGTAGTGGGAACCTCTTGCACGGCTGTCCCATTCACATAGAAAGCAGCACTACATGGTGTATCCAAGTTTGGCTAAGAAAATCACCTACCTTTCACCTCGAAATATAAACTTGGACATCACAACCACCTTCTATGACTGCTGGAACAATAATGAAGGTCAGTGAGACTGTGAGTGTGGTAAGAAACAATGCCACGAGCCTCTTGCAACCTGTTGTGACACATAGGTCTATATTGAAAAGTAGAGCTAACAAACAATTTTAACCATGATATTCATTATCAGTAATCTTAAAATTAGTTGGAAATTGCTACTCTGGTCTCGGAATCAGTTTGGTTATTGACTAGTGTAATCTATGTAACTGTATTTGTGTATACCTGAATAAACTTACTTATAATCCTACAAGGTATAAAGGTGTCCTTGACTGATGGTGAACAGATGACATGCAGCCTTAATGACTCGTATAGTCAATAAGATTTAAATTTTATAAAGCAACTAACATATTGGTAATATGGTTTGGGTACAGTGTTTCTGAGGAACGTATGAAGGAGGGGCGGTGACAGTCCCACCATAGGATAATATACAGGCTGTCTGCGCTGATGGTTTCCTTAACACTGACAGTGGGACGACAGGAAGTAATGTTACGTACTATAATTTAAAGGTGCATTAGAATTAATAATTGAGCTTCCACCTGAGTTGTTTGCCATACTTGTTTTTAAGCTTGTGTAAACTGCGACTGCACGCAGTTTAATTGTTACGACTCTCATTATTTACTCTAAATATTCTGATCAAGCATTAAATGAAAAGAAAATTGAGATTTTTTGAGGTTTCATTCCACTGTATAGTACTATATTCTTTAAATGTAGTGTGATTTTTAAAATATGATATGACTAATATCTCTTTCTAGTGGTGTAACAATGATCAGTGGGGTTTGACAGACCCATTATGACCTCTTGTAATCCTGTTTTATGCTTTATCGCTCAAAGGATGAAGTAGATGGCTAAATAAGGTTCGTCAGGAAACAGGACAAGTGTTTCCTGACGCGGGTCTTAGATGATGACCCACAACTGGAGCTGCCAGTACACAATAAAATAACCACTCAGGTGACACAATTAAACTGACAGCTTCATTTTTGTGATATTGCAAGAACAGTCTTTCATACCTAAAGCTGAAGAACCTCTTTGGCTAGCCAGGTGACCACAAAAAGCTAGACGACTACAACTCACGGAGCTGCGAAGTCACACACTCAGGAGCTTGTGAGAGAGTGACCAGTGCGAACCCCTAGTGATGTGTTGTTGCTCTCCGATACACTCTGCTTATCCCCACACATTACCATTATTAGTGATGTGCTGGACTGCGTACCCTTCGTGAAATTCTACAGCACCCTACCAGAATACTACTGCGTTTCCGCCACACCCTATCAACATTCTACGTTTCTAGCACACCCTACCAACACTCTACGACGTTTTTACCACACCCAGCCAACAGTACGACGTTCCCATCACACCCAGCCAACAGTACGGCGTTTCCATCACACCCAACCAACACTACGACGTTTCCATCACATACAAGCAACTTTCCACCATCCCTACCAACACTACGACGTTTCCATCACATACAAGCAACACTACGACGTTTCCACCACCCCTACCAACACTACGACGTTTCCATCACATACAAGCAACACTACGACGTTTCCACCACCCCTACCAACGTTACGACGTTTCCATCACCACTATCAATAATCAACGACGTTTCCACCACCCCTACCAACGCTATGACGTTTCCACCACCCCTACCAACACTACGCCGTTTCCATCACACCCTGCCAACAATCTACCACGTTTCCACCACCTCCTGGAGTATACCTGGAGAAGGTTTCGGGGGTCAACGCCCCCGTGGCCCGATATGTGACCAGGCCTCGTGGTGGATCAGAACCTAATCAACCAGGCTGTTACTGCTAGCCGCACGTAAACCGACGTACGAACCAAAGCCAGGCTGATCAGGTACTGACTTTAGGTGCCTGTCCAGCGCCTTCCTGAAGACAGCCAGGGGTCTATTGGTAAACCCCCGTATGATGGGAGGCAGCTGAATAGCCTAGGGCTCCTGACACTTATTGTGTTATCTCTCAGTGTACTCGTGGCGCCCCTGCTTTTCACTGAAGGGATACTGCATCTCTTTCCAAGTCTCTCGCTTTCGTAGGGGGTGATTTTCGTGTGCAAATTTGGGACTAGTCCCTCTAGGATTTTCCTAGTGTATATTATCTTGTATCTTTCTTGCCTGCATTCCAGGGAGTACAAATCAAGGGACTTCAACCGTTCCCAATAATTTAGGTACTCTATCGTACTTACACGTGCCGGGAAAGTTCTCTGTACACTCTCCAGGTCTGCAATTTCGCCTGCTTTGAAAGAGGCTGTTAGCGTGCAGCAGTATTCCAGCCTAGAGAGAACAAGCGATTTGAAGAGAATCATCATGGGCTTAGCGTCTCTAGTTTCGAAGGTTCTCATTATCCATCCTATCATTTTCTTAGCAGATGAGGTAGATACATTGTTGTGATCTTTAAAAATGAGATCCTCTGACATTATCACTCCCAGGTCCTTCACGTTAGTTTTTCGCTCTCTTGTGTGATTTGAATTCGTTTTATATCCCGATACATTTTTTAATTTCCTCAAGTTTTCCATATCGAAGTACACGTAATTGAAATTTCTCTTCAGTGAGCTTCATATTGTTTTCCGCGGCTCATATAAAGATTTGGTTGATATCCGCTTGGAGTCTTGCAGTGTCATCGATGGACGACACTGTCATGCAAATTCGGGTGTCATCCGCAAAGGAAGACACGGTGCTGCGGCTAACATCTCCGTATATGCCAGATATGAGGTTAAGGAACAGGATGGGAGGGAGTACTGTGCATTTGTGGAACGGAGCTTTTCACTGTGACTTCCTCAGACTTTACTCTGTTTACTATTACCCTTTGTGTTCTGTTAGGAAGTTTTAGATCCATTTACCAACTTTTCTTGTTATTCTTTTATCACGCATTTTGTGCGCTACTACACCATGGTCACACTTGTCGAAGGCTTTCACAAAGTCTGTGTATACTAACTACATCTGCATTTTGTTTGTCCTCCAATGCATCTAAGACCTTCCCATAATGGTCCAGTAGTTGGGACAGGTAGGAGCGTCCTGCTCTAAAATGTTGCCCTGGCTGAAGAAAACGGGTGGTCGAAAAATTAAGATCCGTGTTGGTACTTTGTCCAGACGAATAATGTAACATCACAATTAAATAGGTAAAAATGTATGTAATTAAATTATTGTTTTAGAACTGATTTTAAAAGAAAAAAATTGGTACATGTGTGTGTATATCTTAGGTCGTGAGGGCAGTACGAGTCTACACTGTGGTGTGAAGTATACGTGGTAAGGGACCATCCAGTTAGCACCGTCGTTGAAAAATTTGTAGCCTCGTGACGAATATCACAACATTCCAGCAGAGTTCTAGACTTAATAATTTGTTGCAGCCGGGAAGACACTAGTCACGAGGAGTTCTATGAGCAAGGTGAGTGCTGCTAGGAGTAGTCCCAGCGCCCATAACATGAAGGCTCCCAGCATCTGTCCCAGCTGTAGGCCAACTCCAGCCGACACCTGCCTCACAAAGAGAAAATTAGCATTAATTCCATAGGCGTAATCTGAACCACAGTTTTTACAATGTTCCCTTGATGTCTCAGTGCTGGTCAAGGGCTTTTGATCCAAGGAATTGGATCTACCCTTCCCAATTCCTAGAATCAAACCTAGTTACGGTACAAGGTAAGCTAGCGCCTGTAGAAGCTAAACTAGGAACTATTGTCTTCAGACTCCAGGTCTAAGAACTGCAGCCTTAATGACCCCCTGTACAGTCGATAGATTCTATAACTCAACAAACTAATAGGAAATCCTTCAAGAAATTCACCACAATTTCCATCCTGACCTTGTCGTGGTGATTATCTTTCCCCTGATACTTCTTCGTGTGGTTATTGAAGAGATGATCAATAATACCCGTCTCCAACAAGCCAGTAAGAATCTCAGACAGTTGAACTGTGTAGGGACAATTCCTCCTAAGGATCCAGGACAGGTAACCAGGGTACACCTGCAGACAACAACACTAATAATATTAATAAGGAGAAGAAGAGAAAAACAGCAACAAGAATAGGAACAGGAAAAATAAAAATAATACATACATATATATACACACATATTTACATATAGACATTAAAAATATATATTACAGTACCATTTCTTTCATAATGTAAGTTTGAGAGGCAACACCGGTGAGGTTAACTATTTGGCCCATGTATGAATATGTATCTATGAGGGCATGGGTACTGCCCATCACCCAGGTGATGCCCACTTGGAAGTTCTGATAGACGTAGGGATAAAGGTCGAGGTTGTGACCCAACTTGTAGAGGTGTAGGTCAGTAGACACCTTGAGAGCCTCTGGCACAAAGCTGCCATAGTCTTGCATACATACCCTAACACAGGAATTATTATTATTATTATTATTATTATTATTATTATTATTATTATTATTATTATTATTATTATTATTAACATTATTATCATTATTATTATTACTATTATTATTATTATTATTATTATTAATTATTATAATTATTATTATTACATTATTATTATTATAATAATTATTATTATTATTATTATCATTATTATTATTAACATAATTATTATTATTATGTTATCACTAAAATTGTGGTAGGACATGCAGTGGCTGGAGAACAGAATGTAATCAGATTTGATCTGAGGAAGGGGAGGGTAGTTCCAATTTCTTGGATCAAGAGTCCTTCAGTAGCATCAAGGTAGTCCCATCCCTTGAAGGGACTGCTGGGGCATGGGGCTACCTTCTTTAACTCTATTATTAAGATAATTTGGTTCTTAAGGCAGGACTTGTTCTCCCTATCCAAGTATATATACACAGAAGTGTTTGTAAATAATTTCTCCTGCTTGCGAATTGTTAAGCATTTTAATTTTTTTTTTTTTGTAGTTCACTGCATGTGGCATGATTTTGCGAAATATCTTTGTACAAGACTGGGGAGTGACCGTCCAGAATGCTTTAACATAGCGAAAACATGTGCTAATCAAAGCACATTCCGGAACGTTTCTTTCAGCTCGTCATTTAGATGCACTTTACCTGAGGTTGGAAGCCGCCAGTTCTTCCAGCGTCTCAATACGTTTTGGGTACACAGGGACGGTGAGGAAGGCTACCAGGTTACTGTTGTAGGCTGTAGCTATGATAACACAGGCCAGCCACCAACAGCCTATCCACAGCCTCGTCCAAGTATTCTCAAATTTGCCCTTAACGCCCTGGTACACTAGTCCACCAAGGATCTGTAGTAATATAACAATAATAATAATTTTATTTCTACAAGTACATGTACAAGGTATACAGACCATAGCTGACATCAATGACATACTACTATATAGAAAACCCCTTGTTATGCTGAGCATTTCGGGCAAATTAGGTCAGTTTTTGTCCCAGGATGGGACCCACACCAGTAGTATTATTACGTCTGATTGCAAACACTGGCTAAGGTCAATGACCGATAATTGCTATAATTGCCGTGGTTGGCATAATTACCATGAGAAAGTGAATGAATGGCCCAACCGCGAAAACTGGCTAGGTTAATGGCATAATTGTTTGTCTGCCTGAAAAGATTGGTGAGTTGATTGGTGAGTTGATTGCTCCTCAAATGGGACAGTTGGGGGTTATTTGTATGTATTACTAACCTAGCCCATGAACACTGGCTAGGTTAATGACTGATACTTGGCATAATTACCATCTGCAGACAGTAAGCGGGACCGCCCATAGCGACAGGTGTCTGACCACCAAAAAAAATTTGCATGCCTTTGCCCCCTTGTGTATGTAACTCAATAAAAAATACTAATATAAACTTTGATTTTTATTTTCCTTTATTTAATTATACATATTACTATCCTCTTTCGTCTGAAAGTGGTCAGTAGGAGTGGTCAAGCGGATAATATATACGCCAATATACCCGGAAAAGCTTTTTCGCTGATGCACAGGTGGATGGGAGGTCAGTGCCCACCCAGACAATTATATAACTCCTACCCTGACAACTGAAGGATGCTCTTCTGCTTAGTAACTCTCAAAAATTAACTTCCTATCCCATTTGAGGAGCTTCTTACGGATGGCAATTATGGCAATTATCTGTCATTAACCTAGGCAGTGTTCACAGCCGGGCCCATTCGCTTACTTTCTCATGGCAATTATGACAATCATGGCAATTATCGGCCATTGAGTTAGGCCGTGTTTAGACTCAGAAATGTTTATATATATGTCACTCTTCTGCTTACAACACACAATAAGCAGACACCTGTCGCCATGGGCGGTCCTGCATACTTTGCCACAGACGGGAATTCTGCCAATTAAGTTATTATCCTAGCCAGTGTTCGCGACCAGTCCGTTGTCTTACTTTCTCATGGCAATTATGGCAATATTTTGTAGTGTGTGTGTGTGTGTGTGTGTGTGTGTCTCACAATTATCAGTCATTAACCAAGCCAGTGTTCGTGGGTGGGTCATTCATTCACTTTTTCACGGTAATTATGCCAATCACTGCAATTATAGCAATTATCGGCCACTGACCTTAGGCAATGTTTGCAACTGGGCATAATTATGCTACTCACACCAGTTGACTAATACCCAAGTACCCATTTTACTGATGGGTGAAAATAGACAACAGGTGTAAAGAAACATGCCTAATGTTTCTACCCTCGCCGGGAATCGAACCCGGACTTCGCCGTGTGAAGCGAGAGCTTTAGCTACCAGGCCATGGTATATACACAGCTTAGTTTTACGTCCTGCTGCTCAAACCAACTTGCACATACAGGCGAGCACCACTTTACAGCACTTTGCTTTATGGTGTTTCACTAATGCAGCGTTTTTTTCAATTATATCCATTCTTCATATCTGACTTCCTACAGTAAATATATTCACCATTCACTACAGACGAGAATATTTTACGGCCTAGCTCTACTGCTCACTTAATATATGATAGTGTAAGCATATTATCAGGCTTTTATATGCATTTGAAAGTGAGAAAAGGCTATGTTTCACTTTACATTGATTTTCCCTTTATAGCAGTATTTTGGAACCTAATCCGACGTATTAGCGGGGCCCGTGTACGTATACTAGCGGCACAGTCAACAAGTATTCACCAGAAGGAAAACGCTGTAGGGGTCGTGGTTGTTGGGCAGCAGCAGGAGACAGAGGGTGAACGAGATGCTCACCACTATAGTGGTGAAAATAATAGTCAGCCATAAGACTCCTGTGAACGGGTATGTGAGTCCCCTCCACTTGGGTAGAGGCGGCGGCACACGCAGAAGGAACACGTAACTCTCTACTTGGTATGGGTAAGATACGTCAAATTCATCATAGATTTCCTCTGTTAGTGTGAAACCGTTGATTGTCAGGTCCTTATTGTTGTAAATAAGGTCCCCAAGCATCCCAGTCCAGGTACCATTTTCGCGTGAGCCCCATTGGTGATCTTTGGGTTCTTTTTGTACTGTATATGTGAAGTTTAACTTGACGGCAATTATTTCTAGGACGTCAAGGTTGGAACCCAAGCACTCATCGTTTTCCAGATAAATGAAAGGGAAGCCATCACACCAGGTGCCAAGATTTATCACTGTCCCCCCGAAATTGTTAAATCTTTCTGGGAAAAGATTGCTTTTAGAGGTAAAAACTTTCTCATCCCAGGGACCCATGGGGTATTTCACAGTCGTGTTGGGGTGGGTCGGCTTGCTTGTAGATACCTTAAATCTTTGGGGAACAAATCTCGTATCGGGTTCGATCAGCACAATGTGTCTACATCTCTGAATTTTGTCATTGCGAAGAAGTATTTCCGAATTCAAAGTTGCGTTAAGACTAAGTAGGACGAGAAACTCAGGATTCCATCGCTGATTCAGACTGTCCAGGAGTTGTGTGTCAGCCACGAAGACCAGGACAGCTGCAAGATGGCTTCCTCTGAGAAACTGACCGGGAGCCTTGAGGAAGAAATCTCCAGCACCCTCACTGACCAAAACAAAACTTGTGTGTCTCGCGCTAAGACTAGCTAAGATTGCGTCAATGTCTAGAATCTCATGAGCACCCAAGCCAAGAACGAGAAGGATGTGATCCTCAGTCAGTGGTCCATGAAGAAGACTGAGAAGGACATCATCACCTTGTTGATCATGTTGAACACTGCAGGATACAGCTACGAGACAGAGCCACACCCAGCTCCTGTGGGGGACATCACATAAACGTATGTCATATTATTAAGCGAGACAAATTATTAAGCAAATAGTACATTGCGTATAATGGGTTAATCCATTAAAATAACCTACATAAATTGTAAGAAATAAGATATAAACAATAACTTTATCCATTATTGCATTATAATTATCATACCAAATATTAAACCGGTGGATTGTTCAGCGCTACATGGCAAGGGATAAGAGGAGGGGGATGGGGAGGGGGAGCGGGGAAGAGGGAGGGAGAATACCAGAAGAAATTAAAAGATAGAATTCCTGACGTAGACTACAGAGGTGTAAAGAAGAATTAAAATAAGTGAACACATATTTATGTGTAAAAATCATAGGGGCATTAAATAGGCAGTTCAGAGTAAGTATGTAAGGGCGCCAGAATCAGCTTATTGGCCACTAATTTAGACTAACGATACAGCCAGCTGCCTTGGGTCAAGACTGGAAAAATAATTGGAAAAGAACAACCTCTTACAGGAAATATGGTCTTGAACTACGCAATATGCAGAGGCTTCTGCAACTTCCTGCCCTGAACTACAGAGTGATCAACCACCCAACAAAATATGACTTTATTTTGCCATACTAAGGATGCTAATTATTGTTAAATGTAGAAGATGAGAGGAAAAGTCTGAAGCTAAGGCAAATGCTGATCCACAAACATGTGTGTGTAAGTCCCACGGTTTTGAAGAAAAATCTCCAGGTCTTATATATATTGAGTAGCTATAAAGAGCTGGTACTGTTATAGTGATACATCTATCAAGCACAGTAACTGACCAGAGGAGACTGATGAGAGGTTGAGATGCCTTCATGGAGACCTGACTCAACCATAGGCTACACCACCACTACTGAGTCAACTCCGCCTCCTATAACATTTTTATAAGGATGTGAGGTGGAGAGGGGGGAGAAAAGGGGTAAGAGAGAGAAGTAGAGTGAGAGGGTATGTGAAAGAGGTAGTCGGATATTGATAGGGGTGGTGACTGAGGACAAGATGTGTGAGGGGCGGGGGAGTGAATCAAGCTAGGTATAGGAAAAACAAGGAAGGAGAGAGTAGAGATAGATGTGAAAGTAACATAACAGTGATTGGAAGGGGAGACTGCAGTGAACAAGGTGGATGGTGAAAACTGTTTTGTCCGGTGAAAGCAGCGACATCTATAATATGCATTGTTTGATACGTAAATCATAACATAATTACCAAAGGAACTAACCTATGGAAGATTAATTGGCTCCGTAATTACGAGAGAGGAAGAGGAATCTTGACTATGTATATAATATTTAAAACGGTATTGATTGTTCCAGTACAAGAAACACAACACATGAAGTGTTCCAGTACAAGACACACAACACATAAAGTGTTCCAGTACAAGAAACACAACACACAAGGTGTTTTAGTACAAGAAACACAAAACACAGTGTTGTACTACAAGAAATAGAACACACAAAGTGTTCCAGTACAAGAAAAACAACACAAAGTGTTCCAGTACAAGACACACAACACATAAAGTGTTCCAGTACAAGACACACAACACATAAAGTGTTCCAGTACAAGACACACAACACATAAAGTGTTCCAGTACAAGAAACACAACACAAACAAGAAATACAACACAAAGTATTCCAGTACAAGACACAACACACAGGGTAATGTTATTTTTCTCTGTTAGAAGGTGACCCTTGGGGAAGGTACCTTGATGCCGGTGAGGAAGGGAAGGTGACCCTTGGGGAAGGTACCTTGATGCCGGTGAGGAAGGGAAGGTGACCCTTGGGAAGGTACCTTGATGCCGGTGAGGAAGGGAAGGTGACCCTTGGGGAAGGTACCTTGATGCCGGTGAGGAAGGGAAGGTGACCCTTGGGGAAGGTACCTTGATGCCGGTGAGGAAGGGAAGGTGACCCTTAGGGAAGGTACCTTGATGCCGGTGAGGAAGGGAAGGTGACCCTTGGGGAAGGTACCTTGATGCCGGTGAGGAAGGGAGGATGTCTTGCTTGATCTAAGGAGTCGAACCTGTGCTTCCCTTCCCTGTATTGACTTCAGTGCCTCCCATTATTGCCAGGCACTGTGTGACCCCCTGCGAGTTTAGCACTCTCCATTCCCTCATCAGTGTAATAATAACCAAGAGGCGAGTATTTTAAATATCGTGACTCACAAAATCGTAATAATAAGATTGTAAACAACCCAGGGAACGGGTGAAAGGTTGAACGACTCGCCATGGATTCAAACCCTCACCCGTTCGGTGGTTGACTTTATATATTATTGCCAATATTCATTATTGCATTCTTGGAGGGGGGGGGGGAAAGCTAAACCTGTGGGAGTCATAGAGCTCCTTGGGAAAATGGAAGGTGATTAGGTTCGATCCAAGGAATGGGGAGGCAGATCCAAGTCCTTAGACCAGAATTATTACAATCATGGGGGAGAACTAAACCTGTAGGGATTATACAGCGTCTGTGGGGGAAGGGAATGAAAGGTATTCAGGCTAAATTCAGGGAACTAGAGCACAGATCCAATTCCCTAGAACAAGAGCCTCTCACCAGCGTCGGGGAACTTCACTTGAGTTCAGTACTGATAAAATCATATTTTCACTAGTGATGTAGAAAGTTTTGAATTTTCCTAAATTCATCATGTGTCAATTTAAATATAATAATTGTGTATAAAAATGTGATATTGATTTGACCCTTCGAGAAATTTCGAGTGAGGCGGGATGTGGAACAGCCGCAGAGGGGGAGAGGAGGACGCCATAGTGAAAATACATGTGAACACTGGTCTGTTAGTGGTGTAATTTAATCAGGTGTCATCGAAGTTCAGCTGCTGTTTATCGGCCTCAATCTATAATTTAGAAATTGCTGACACATTCCCGCTGAACACTTAGGATAAATAGTGTGAAAAACCCTTACAATTCGGCAACGAGGACGGAAAAATAGAGGACATTGATTCTTCCCAGGAACACACCTTAGCTAAGTGACGCTTACCCATAAAGTACAGTAGTTTTGCACTGGCCATCGTAAATTCTAACTGTAGTGGTAGCGTTATTGTGTGTTCCACAAATAATAATTATGATCCAACTACAGTAATTAAATGGTAAGCTGTAATTCGAATTTCTGTTCAAATAACACTATTGTATTATATGTATTGTACTAATAGTTATGTTTTGAGTACCCAGCAAGTAAACCAAAATATACAGTCCACATAATTTTAATATACCAGAGTAGCTGGTTTTAATATTGTAATTATTAATTTAATGTCAGGTCAAGCTTTTTGTGAGAGTGGTGATGGAGTGGGCATCAAAGGAGTGACAGTTCTGCGACCTACTGTGACCAAGACCCACTTAAACTCTCCCAGATTACTTGCACGTAATGATTCAGGTAATACCCTGTAAACCTCATGCAGGTAATTTCTCACATAAGTCATACGTGACGATCACAGAAAAAATGAGTCATGAAGATTTTTATATATTGTTTTCCAGTTTACCTGGAGTTTTACCTGGAGAGAGTTCCGGGGGTCAACGCCCCCGTGGCCCGGTCTGTGACCAGGCCTCCTGGTGGATCAGAGCCTGATCAACCATGCTGTTACTGGTGGCTACACGCAAACCAACGTACGAGCCACAGCCCGGCTGGTCAGGAACCGACTTTAGGTGCTTGTCCAGTGCCAGCTTGAAGACTGCCAGGGGTCTGTTGGTAATCCCCCTTATGTATGCTGGGAGGCAGTTGAACAGTCTCGGGCCCCTGACACTTATTGTATGGTCTCTTAACGTGCTAGTGACACCTCTGCTTTTCATTGGGGGGATGTTGCATCGTCTGCCAAGTCTTTTGCTTTCGTAGTGAGTGATTTTCGTGTGCAAGTTCGGTACTAGTCCCTCTAGGATTTTCCAGGTGTATATAATCATGTATCTCTCCCGCCTGCGTTCCAGGGAATACAGGTTCAGGAACCTCAAGCGCTCCCAGTAATTGAGGTGTTTTATCTCCGTTATGCGCGCCGTGAAGGTTCTCTGTACATTTTCTAGGTCGGCAATTTCACCTGCCTTGAAAGGTGCTGTTAGTGTGCAGCAATATTCCAGCCTAGATAGAACAAGTGACCTGAAGAGTGCCTAAAATTTACACAAATTAGTATTTAGTGGCAATAATTCCAGCGGTTAAGATGGTTATTTAGTTAATGAGGCTTAGAGCTTATAATGTGTGTACTGCACATGGATAATTGAGGCTGCAGGTTACCTGTACAACACCAGTCAAGAAATTCTTCAGTCCCTAAAGCAAGGATTAAGTTAAACTCTCAGTGTATATACACCGAGAGACATACACCTCTCAGTGTATATATATACTGAGAGATATACACCTCTCAATGTATATACACTGAGAGACATACACCTCTCAGTGTATATATATACTGAGAGATATATACCTCTCAGTGTATATACACTGAGAGACATACACCTCTCAGTGTATATACATTGAGACTACATATCTGAGTATACCTGGAGTATACCTGTGTTTCTAATATTATTTTCTACCAGCAAAGAAAAACAAATGATTATTTTCTTCCATTACTTTTTTTCAGATAAAATTAAGAAGTATATTAGTTTATAAATATGTGAAAGGTTAGACTCCTAATATCTGCTGCGTCACAGTTGAAGTCATTAACATCTCTATGCATAACTTAGCCAAAACAAGATGAGAATATATCAGTGACATCAGAGTTTATGCCTGGAGTTTACCTGTAGAGAGTTCCGGGGGGTCAACGCCCCCGCGGCCCGGTCTGTGACCAGGCCTCATTGTGGTTTATATTGGTTTATCTAAATATACACTCAGTTTACCTGGAGAGTTTACCTGGAGAGAGTTCCGGGGGTCAACGCCCCCAGTTGTTCATGGTATCTGTATATATATTATGCAAAACTCGCGAACGAGAGACAAAAGATGCAACATAACCACAGGGGAGTTGAATGACAGCTCTAGGCCTTTCGTATTGTAATCAACACATCATCTGGAGCTTGCTATGTTGCAGAAATAGAGCAAGAAATGCAGGAAGATCCGTCATGGGAATGGCTGCTTTACTTCACCGTTGATGCAAAAAGAAAACAAGGAATACAGCCAGCTTATTATATTAATAGAAATTTGAGAGATGATTGAGTCCCCGAAGCTGACGACATTAAATGTTGTAAAAGGAACTTTCGAGACTTAGAAACTTGGCCTCTGGGGCCGGTGTCAACAGTCCCTGCTAGACACCTCACAAGGAAGCACCCCTCAAGGAAGGTTCCTTGATGTTGGTGAGGGGCTCTTGATTATAATAATAATAATAATAATCACAAGGAAGCAGATATTACACACATTTCTCATACCAGAAGATACATTTTACAGTTATTGTACAGAACAACAAAACTCGCCCCTACACAGCCTAAATTCCCCCTAAAATGTTTAATCTCTTTCAAAATGTAGCCTACACACTCCAGCCCCCAACCCATATTGTATTTAATACCAACCCATATTGTATTTAATACCAACCCATATTGTATTTAATACCAACAGATATTGTATTTAATATCAACCCATATTGTATTCAATACCAACCCATATTGTATTTAATACCAACCCTTATTGTATTCAATACCAACCCATATTGTATTCAATACCAGCAACCCATATTGTATTTATTACCACCCATATTGTATTTAATACCAACCCATATTGTATTTAATACCAACCCTATTGTATTTAATACCAACCCATATTGTATTCAATACCTAACCACCATTTGTATTCAATACCAACCCATATTGTATTTAATACCAACCCATATTGTATTTAATACCAACCCATATTGTATTCAATACCAACCCATATTGTATTTAATACCAACCCATATTGTATTCAATACCAACCCATATTGTATTTAATACCAACCCATATTGTATTCAATACCAACCCATATTGTATTTAATACCAACCCATATTGTATTTAATACCAACCCATATTGTATTCAATACCAACCCATATTGTATTCAATACCAACCCATATTGTATTTAATACAACCCATATTGTATATTAATACCAACCCATATTGTATTTAATACCAACCCATATTGTATTTAATACCAACCCATATTGTATTCAATACCAACCCAATTGTATCAGTACCAACCCATATTGTATTTAATACCAACCCATATTGTATTCAATACCAACCCATATTGTATTTAATACCAACCCATATTTTATTCAATACCAACCCATATTGTATTCAATACCAACCCATATTGTATTTAATACCAACCCATATTGTATTCAATACCAACCATATTGTATTTAATACCAACCCATATTGTTATTTAATACCAACCCATATTGTATTCAATACCAACCCATATTGTATTCAATACCAACCCATATTGTATTTAATACCAACCCATATTGTATTTAATACCAACCCATATTGTATTCAATACCAACCCATATTGTATTTAATACCAACCCATATTGTATTCAATACCAACCCATATTGTATTTAATACCAACCCATATTGTATTCAATACCAACCCATATTGTATTTAATACCAACCCATATTGTATTTAATACCAACCCATATTGTATTCAATACCAACCCATATTGTATTCAATACCATACCATATTGTATTTAATACCAACCCATATTGTATTCAATACCAACCCATATTGTATTTAATACCAACCCATATTGTATTCAATACCAACCCATATTGTATTTAATACCAACCCATATTGTATTCAATACCAACCCATATTGTATTTAATACAACCCATATTGATTTAATACAACCCATATTGTATTCAATACCAACCCATATTGTATTCAATACCAACCCATATTGTATTTAATACCAACCCATATTGTATTCAATACCAACCCATATTGTATTCAATACAACCCATATTGTATTTAATACCAACCCATATTGTATTTAATACCAAACCCATATTGTATTTAATACCAACCCATATTGTATTTAATACCAACCCATATTGTATTCAATACCAACCCATATTGTATTCAATACCAACCCATATTGTATTTAATACCAACCCATATTGTATTTAATACCAACCCATATTGTATTCAATACCAACCCATATTGTATTTAATACCAACCCATATTGTATTCAATACCAACCCATATTGTATTTAATACCAACCCATATTGTATTCAATACCAACCCATATTGTATTTAATACCAACCATATTGTATTTAATACCAACCATATTGTATTCAATACCAACCCATATTGTATTCAATACCAACCCATATTGTATTTAATACCAACCCATATTGTATTTAATACCAACCCATATTGTATTTAATACCAACCCATATTGTATTAATACCAACCCATATTGTATTCAATACCAACCCATATTGTATTCAATACCAACCCATATTGTATTTAATACCAACCCATATTGTATTCAATACCAACCCATATTGTATTTAATACCAACCCATATTTTATTCAATACCAACCCATATTGTATTCAATACAACCATATTGTATTTAATACCAACCCATATTGTATTCAATACCAACCCATATTGTATTCAATACCAACCCATATTGTATTTAATACCAACCCATATTGTATTCAATACCAACC